ATGTCATGGAATTTTTAGAGCTGGATGGGAACTCAGCCACCCCCCTTCATTTGATAGATGAAGATTCCTCAAACTCAGCTAAGGAGGCACAGTACATAGAGTGTTGGACTTGAAGTCAGGAAGACCCGAGTTCAAATTCTGACTCAGACCTTTAGGTGACTCAGACCTTGGGGGCAAGTCACCTAACATCTCTGTGCCACCTAACATTTCCTCACCTGTCATAGCAACTATCTCACAGGGTCATTGTGAGGATCAAATGAGATTACATAGGTAAGATGCTTGGCAAACCTTAAAGTGCTATATAAATACTAGCTATTATTATTAAAGGTTAAGTGATTTGCCCAAGGTCACACAACTAGTCAGTGGCACAAGTGGGATTCAGATTCCAAATTCCCTTTCCATAACCCCACAATGACAGCACAAGGATTTTTATGTCAATCCTTAAAGATTTTCTTTCTCTGAAAAGTTATTGTTTGATGAGTAGACCAATGTGAATCAATATCATTTTAGTGAGGCTCTTAAATGATCAGATCCTTAACTAATACTTTGAAATGTCTGTTTAGGTCAGTAAATTTCTCCCATTTACTTTATCTATAGTCTTGTGACTTAAGTAAAGTTAAAAAAGTTGATTCAGGAAAATGGTCAGCATGGGGTAGGGACTAGTCAGCAGTTTGGTTTCCTCATAAAGTCACAACTATCCTGAGGCATTCCACAGCTCCCACGTAGACAGTGTCCTGCTTCTCTCTTAGAGTTTTCCTGGGAAGGTTGGCAGAGCTGTAGGAAAGACATGGAGCCTAATGACAACATTATTAATCTCTTTCTTCATCCACTCCCTAGCACAAATATTGCTGAACCTTCTGGGAACAATGCTATTTCTAGGGACTTTAATGAGTGTTTTTCTACCTGACTCTACTTATATAAGGATGGCTGCCTATGTTACAGTACCTGGAAAGACTTCACTGCCTCCCTGTGAGGACAGATGTATAACTGTTTGCCAAAGCTGAAGAAAAAAGTCCATTTCTAAACCTGGTACAATAAATGCTCCTTAATCCCCTTATCAGCCACTCAAGAAAGGAACAGACAGAACTGCTAATCTTTAGTTCCTCAGATGTCTGAATGTCAAATTAAATGAGGTAATTAAATGAACATTTTTCTCAGTGGTCAATAGTATGTAACCTAAATTAAGAAAGGACAAAAGAGAACAGCAGCAGTACACTGAGAGAGCACCATGATGTTGAGGCTTATGATCCACTTCTCTGGCTTCAGAGAACTTTACTAATACTAATAGTTTAGCTCACAGGAGAGAAGACCCCTGGAGACCTGATAACTGTCATCAAGTGTTTGAAGAACTGAATTGTGGAAGAGTCATTCAAGTTCACAGAATCACAGCACTGAAGAGCTGGAAGGAAGTCCAGCAGCCATCTAATCCTGCACATACAGGAAAGGAATCTCCACCACAGACAAGCTGTCCTCCAACCTCTCTCCTTGAAGCCCTCCAGTGAGAGGGACCTCACCACCTCTGAAGGCAGCCCATTCCCCTTTTGGACATTTGACCTCATATCAAGCCCAATCAGACTGGCCTCTTTGTCACTTCCACACAATGCTCCTGGTTCTGCCCTCTAGGGCCAAAGAGGAAAAGACAAATCCTCCCTCTGTATGGCAAGCCTCTAGATATTTGAAGACAGCTCCCATGTCTCCCCTGAATCTTCTCTTCTTCAGGCTAAAAATGTCCAATTCCAACAACTGATCCTCCTATGACATGGTTCAAGGCCATTCACCATCCTGGTATCTATCCCCTCTTTTTCTGCTTGGCCTTAACAGGCAGAACTAGGAGCAATGGGATAGATGCTAGAAAGAAGAAAAATTAGGGTTAACGTCAGGAAAAGCTAACGATTAGTTCCATCAAAAAGTGGAATTGGCTGCCTCAGAAAGAAGTGGGTTCTCTCCTTCCCTTGAGGTGTTCAAGTAGAGGTCAGATAACTGCTTATCAGGTATAGTAAGGTTTAACAAATGCTTCTAAAATGAATAAATCCATAGAAGGGATTGTTGTTCAGGTACAGGTTGGACTAGATGGCGTCTGAGGTCCCTGTTAATTCTGACTCTTTGATTGTGATTCTGGCTGGGGGCTGAAGGCTTGAAATTCTTGAAGTAATTGGGCTCCATGACAAATTCAGTTCAGAATGTGTTTGAATATGATTTAATTTAATCTGGGAGCAAGGTACCCTGCTAAAGCATAGAAAATACTGACATCACCATTCATCGTTCAAGTCAGAATGAGAATGGAATACTTACTATGGAAGTCACTGAAACCATCTGCCCAGTGTATATAATGTAACATAGGCAAGAACAGCAAAGGAGGCGTTAAAAGTACCATATCATCCACCCAGTTTCACTGGACCTTGAAGACAAAATGTATTGCAAGATAAGCTAATTATCTGACAGCCAATATACTGTAATGGCTGACCTCAGTACTGGGAAGAGGTGGTTTTAAAGTCTTGTTTCAACATTTACAGATTTGTTGAATCACTTAACTTCTAAGTCTCTAAGGTTGTAAAATAACAGAAAGTTACAATCCATATCAGTGGAGGGTGTTTCCATATTGAAAGATGTCTATATAAATAAACTCAGAGGACAAGATCAGAAAAAAAAGGTAGTATATATTATGTACCAGTTAGGGTACTTAGAGTAGATGAAGACAATTTGAACATGTAGCCCAAAATGAAAACAAAAGTCAACATGACTGGTTATGGTTCAGGATGTTGTGGATTACCTTGGCATCTTTGATGTCTAACCAAGCTCGAAGTGCTCCACAGCACCTGCTTCAGCCACCTTCATTGCCAATGGAACAAATTATTCCCATCTACACATTCCACTAGAAGAAGTCTTCACATGCTTGGGGTAGGCACCCCTCCCAACTCACTGACAAGTTTGAGAACCCTTGGCTACCCTCAATCGAGTTTAAGCTGTCTGCTGAAACTGTTTAACAGAGTGTGGCCACTATGTATACCACAGCTTCTTGGAGCCACAAGTGAGATCCTATGGTGGCCAAATCCTACTTCTTTGGGGGAATGGATGTTAAATGCATAATTAGAACAGACTTATTTAAGACAGTAACTGACTATGAATTCAGGGTTGCTTCCACTTTTAACTATTTATTAGACATCTTCAACGAATAAGGTTACATTTTTTGGTCCAGAATACATTTAGTATTTAGCGTTCTAGTCTAAAGACAATATGGGTTTTCCATGTGTGAAAACACATGCATTCAATTTACTAATAGAACACTCAACTGATGTTATTAATCATTAAAAGTAGTTGTATATTGCAACAGGAAGGACCCTACGCCTACATGGGAAAATTTCATCACTACAGTGCCCAGCATATAGTAAACACACAATAAATGTTTGTTGACTGACTGCCTAGGGAAAAGGAGCTTGTTTTTCAAAAAGCTCTCAAAGCCTGCAATCCTGGGACTTGGCCACCAGAGGTCTCTTACAATGATTATCCTAATAGTTAGTTTCTCCTTGCCACTCCTCCACACTGCTGTCCCCCCAATACGGTTCTGAAATGTCTAGTTGTGTGTCCCTCCCTTGAATTCCTTCCCATCTCCTCCCTATCTCCAAACCCAAAGTAAACTTCAGGAAGGACAGAAGATGTGACCAGAGGCAGCTAGTGTTGGGGGTTGTAAGCTCTCCCTTTGTAGGAAGAATCACTGGGCATGAAAGAGGGGGGAACGCATGGGCCAGCCTGGGTTTGGTTCTCTCCTGTCTACCTCTGCTCCCTGCCCTGAACCCTGCTATAACACGTGCACAGGCATATCTTGGGAAACTTTAATAGGATTGCAGGGCTAGAGCAGGGCTAGGCCTTCTAGTCCAACATTCTTTGTTTTACAGATAAGGAAACCAAAGCCCAAAGAGGTCATGTCTTTCCCAAGGTCACACAGGTAGTAAGTGGCAGAAATGAACTTGAATTCAGGTCCGCTGACTCCTGAACCAGTCCTCTTTCCACTCTACCGTTCACATATCTATGCTTGCTTTCTAGCTATCACCACCCTGGCCAACCTCAGTTGACTCTGCTAGCTCCATCCACCTTTGGTAAATGAGCTTGCCATGGATACAAGGAAGGCACTCTTATCCCCATAAATGAAACCATAGGACCAGCTGCTTAGGTGGCTGCTGGCCATCAAGGATATGGTTTTAATAGTGAGTATGTGTTAGCAGGGGAAGGAATGCCTTAGGAGATAAAGGCATACATTCATTTTGTCCTTGGCCCAGATTGTGATTTCACTGGTGTAGAAAATTCCACTGAGGAAACTCTCAACCCATGTTGATCAGTATGTACTGGACCACAAAGAGTCTCAGTGTTGCCTGGGTCATAGAGAGGTTAAATGTCTTGCCCAGGGCCACATCTCCAGGAGACGTTAGAGGCTAGATTTGAACCCAGTCTTCTTGACTGTAGGACAGGCTCTCCTCCTCCACTGTGGCCTGCTGCCTTTCTCACATTCCTTTATTTTTTCATCAAACATCCATCATGAGAATGCTAATCAGTGAAGGAGCTGCATTACTCAGTAGCTCCTAGAAACCAGACTGAATTTCAAATGCAAAGCCTTGATATGGTGGAGAAAGGGACTCTGACTGGTGTCCTTAAAAATACCAAATGCACTATACAGTATGAAATTGATGTGCCTTGGCCCTTCTCCCCCAAGGTCACCCTTTGTGACTTTCCACATATGTACTTCACAAACCTGACTTCTGTTGTTCTATTTTCAGAATGTTTCCCTTCTTCCTTCTTTTACCTCCCCTTCTAAGATCTATTCCAGTTTTAGAATTCTATGATTCCACAATCCTTTATCAAATGGACAAAAATGCTTTTACTCTTTCTTCCACCTTACTTTCTTTGATGTTCTTCCCATCAGAGCAGGGAAACAATGGCTGCATGGAACATTTCCCCCATCTTGGCCATGTGGCCAGCTCTCTCCTGTCCTTCCCTTCTCCCCCCAGGAATTCCTTCTCTGGTCCCAGGTTGAGATCAAAGATTGAAAGGGCTTGAGCCTTCCTGACACCAGAGGCACCTTCCAGCTGCTCCAACTAGCTTATCAAGGAAGAAGATCAAGGCACTGCTCTGACTCACACATCATCTACAAAGCAGGGGTATGGCATTTACTGCAGATAGACTCCAATGGGGACTTCTGCCTTGGTCTGACTCCTTATAATCCCTTGTTCAATCATGTCCTGTAGATACGCAAACCCACCCCAAATGTAACGGAAGTCTTCCACTGGATCAGCTCTTGGACCAGGATCCCAGCATCTGAGAAAGACAAACAAAGGTGGAAAAGACCGAGATTCAGTGGAATGGACTGTGCTAAGACTCCAAATTCTTTTCTGAAATGGGAACAGCTTAGATCTCACCTAATTATATAATAAATTTAGGAAGAATTTATTGTACTTTGTGGACTGATTTGGCAATGCTGTCATTATTCCACACCTTCTTTCCGTCCAGCCAACTGGGAGTCACTAAATGTAATCCTTCTGGTAAGATGGAGGACCACTATGACTTACCATCTGCTCTGCCACTGTTTGCTAAGGTCCCCTGGCCCTTAACCATCTGCCATGCTGCTATGCCCTCCAGACCCCAAGCACAGTCATCTGACCCAAGGACCCCTAGGTCTTGCCATCTATCCAACTGCTACATCCTTAGGACTTCCAGGTCTTCTCATATAAGTATTGTCTCTCTCAGTGATAGGGAGGGTTCCCTGAGACAGGGATTACCTGGTTTTTTCAACTTTTATCTCAGGGGCTTGGCACAGTGTTGGCACATAGCAAATCTTAATTAATGTCTTTTCATTCATTCAGGAATATCATCATCCTCATTTTAAAGAAAGATTCAACAGATAATGAAATAATTGGTACAAGTGCTAAGGATGAAGGAAGGCTAAAAGTATTGGGCCTCTTTACTGTTTCTGGATATCAACTCACAATAAAATGAGCCTTTTGGTTACAGCAAACCCTGAGTCTCTCTGTGCTTGATACATCCACTGCAGCTGACGTAAGAGGAGAGGGCAATGAAGGTCACAGACATAGCTAATTTGGGCAGGAAATAGTCATGATCTCTTCTGGCAGGCACCACCACCACATATGGGAGGTAGATGATGCAATCACCTGTCTTTCATCTTATTTTTTTTTTCCACTGCAGCTATGTCCATGCAAATCTTGTACTTCACATGGTGCAGTGGCACGCTGTTCCAGGGGTAGAAATCAGAGAACATCACTCCAGCCCAGATTAGATTCTGCTCCAGGGCTCAGTGGGTGACTTGGATTTCATCATCACAGCTTTCAAATTTATCCAGGGTCAAGCACTGCAGATAAGAAAAAGATTAAGAGAGTTGGAAGAACTCCAAGTGGCAAGGACTCATCTCCTTCCCTTCTTCCCCAACCTAAACAGCTGGAGGGATGAGCTGCTGCCCTGGAGGGACCGACCAGGATACAAGAAGAGCTACAAAGTTAGGGTTTGCTTAGCACCATGTCCAGTGTCAGTGTATGAGCTGTAAGAGTCATCTGGAAATGGGTGGGAAAGGTGTTTGGAAATGCTGAATGGCTCTCTGGTCCCAGCAGATTCAGGGAGGGCTATGTTTATCCAGCTGTTCATAGCTGTACAAATAAGTAGTTGCTGTGAGTGACAGGGTTGTAAGGCCTCTCCCTACCCAGCATGGAGAAGAGAGAGACTGGGGTCACATTGGATACAGGGCTTTGAAGATTAGAAAAAATTCAGACTTAGACCCCAGTTAGATCTCACCTAATTATATCATGAATTTAGTTAGAATTTTATTGTACTTTGTGGACTGATTTAGCAATGTTGTCATTATTCCATTAAAAAAAAAAGATTCCTAGAGGTAGCTACTTCTTATCTTATCACAAATATACAGAAGATGCCCAGCTGGGAAATGAACTGGGAGGAAGAAGAAAAACCTAACAGGAGAACTAAACAATAGCTCCAGAAATGAATTCCCATTCCAACTCAAGGCAGGTATTGCAGGCAAAGGAAGAAACCTGGAATTGCCCAGTAAGTCTAGTTCTTCCCACACACACAATCCTTCTCAACAGCAAAATGGATAACTTTTTCAAATAAGTTAGGTGATATCTTTTGCACACCACTGAGTCTAAACATTCTCAGGTATAAATTGGACAAAAGGTCACAAAAGAAGTGTCAGGACCAGGCTGGTATATGATGACCTAACGATAATGGATGGGTTCAAACAGGTTACAAGTGTAGCCAAATTATAATCTTTAATGGATTATATTATCATGTACTTTGCATATAACATCAACATGTAGCTCTAATGTGAATGTTATGTACATTATATCTGTATGGATAGTTGGGATAATTACCTGTGGTTATGCTATATGCTTAATATTGATGTGACATCATGACATGACCTGTGGATATAGCTGCACTTGCAAGGATCACAAATATTTTCCTGGGATAGAGAAAAGCCCTGTAGTGTAGTTTCAAATTCACAATTTATGAAATAAGGAGACCTACTGATCATTGAAAAAGGTTGGGACACCAGAATACGTGGAAAACTATGCCAGGATGAGAGCTTGGTCAGGAAAATGAACTTGGAAAAATTGAAAGGGCAAATAGATGTAGTATCTGGGGAGATCTGGTATTTCTTAGCAGCCATGAGAAAAAAAAAAAACATACTTGGAGATGATACTAAGAAAAGTAGGACTACCAGAGAGATTGTGACAATTTCTGAAGAATCCAAATTGTGGTGACCCAAAGGGCAATTTAGTACAGCAGAAAGAGAGCTGACTCTAGAATAAAAGGATCTGGGTTCAGATTCTACTTCTGATGCTGACTACCTCTGTGAGGTTGGGTAAGTCATTTCCCTGGGCCTCAGTTTCCTTATCTGTAAAATGAGGAGGGTAAACTCGATGTCCCTTTTTGCTATAGATCTATGATTCTATCAGAAAATATGTGAGTAAGAAAACTTATGTAATGTCACCAGTGATGGCATGTGTTTGAGAAATAGCCTAAAAGGCAATTACCAAGAACAGGGATGATCACAAAAGGAAATGAGATAATGGTCAGAGAGTCTGATGTTCTACTGGTATCTATGGTATATTAGAATCATAGATTTAGAACTGGAAGGGACCTCAGAGACCATCTAATCTGCCCGTCTTATTTTATCCATAAAGAAACAGAGTCCCAGGCACATGAAGGGACTTCCCCAGGGTCACACAGGTGGCATCAGTAGTGAGATTTTAACCTAGGTCTTCTGACTTGTGAGCCAGTGTGCTTTCACGCTATGTCACATGGATTTTAGAGTGAAAAAGGATCCTTACGGGTCATATGGTCTAACCTCCTATTAGGAGTCTCCTTTATTACTCTCCTGACTGGAAGTCATCTAGCCTCTCTGTACTTGAACATTTCAAATGATGGAAAGCTCACTGTCTTACATGGGAATCCATTTAATTGTTGAAAGGCTCTAGTTGGTGGAAAGTTCTTCCATTCTGCCTAAGTCATCCTCTCATAGCTCCAATCCATCAGCTTTAGTTTCAGCCTCTAGAGTCAATCTAATTTTGTTTTTACAGGAGAGCGTCTCAGATATTTGAAACAGGTGGGCATCTGCCCATTAAGTCTTTTCTTCTCCTTAGCTCCTTTAAATATTCTTCATGTGACATTGTTTTTATGCTCCTCACCCTCCTGGTTATCCTTCCCTCAATACTCTCTAATTTTTTATCATTCCTCATAAAATGTGGTGTCTTGAACCGTATATAGTCTTCCAGATGTGATCTGACCAGAGCAAGATTACGATGGGACTATTATCCAGAACAAAGGTCTCACAAGATCTTAAGGAAGGCTTTCAACACTGAGTTGATCTGCCAAGTGGGATGTACAGGAAGACACAGACAAGAATTGGATTTGGGGGAGATGGCAGGGAGGGTGGGAGGGGACAATATAACCACATGAATGAAACCATGGTGCACCACTGGAAACAGCTTTTCCTTCTCCTTTACCTCCTCACCAATCACCACACCCTCAGCCTGGTCTGCCCAGGTGTCAGGGCCACCCAACCAGCCAGTGGCAAACTACGAGACTCTGACTGCAGCTAGGGCTCCCACCCCAGCCACCACCCTCCACCCCTGGGGCTCCTGTCCCACTCCTGAGTTCACCAGCCTGGGAGACAGCCACATGCCATTTTCTCAGTCTGAGAGATAAAAAGAAAGAAAACAAAGCAAGCTTTGTCAACTGGCCAAATGATAAGGAAAAGAGAACACAGGTATATGAGAAAATTGAAGGGCCTGAGGCTGAAATGACACTGGGCTAAGAACATAATTGTCATCAAGGGAAACTAAATTGTTTCTCTTTTAAAAAATCTGAATATCATCCCTATATACCATACAATCTAGAGAGATGTTTTATTTTTTGAAAGTTAGTTCTATTAGAAACGGCAATAGGCTAGAACAGAATAGGATCTGGTCAGCTGAGCTGACCAGTTTGGCATTTTACAAATGTCCATCTGTCAGCTAGTCAGTCAACAAGTATTTATGAAGCACTTACTATGTGCAGGCACTGTGCTAAGTGCTGGAGATACAAAGAAAGGCAAAAGATAGTCCTTGCCCTCAAGCATCTCACAATCTAATGTCAGCAAGTTATATGTCACATATGTATGTACATACATATTTAACTTATAATATTTTTATTACATTTTCAGAATAGTAAAAGTATGAAGACCCATACATCTGGTGATTTTTAAAAAATATCTATGTAAATCCTGATTGGGCATTAGGGAGAAGAATCATTTTGTAAGTGCTTTGAACACTGGGTGTGAATCCTAACTTTATCACTTACTAACAACATGGACTTGGATCAATTATTTCATCTCCCTAAGTCACAGTTTCCTCATTTGAAAAATGACTAGATGAGCGCTGAGTTCCCTTTCATATCTCGATCTTAGATCCTATCTAGAATCCTATGAAATGCGTGAATTATCTCTTCAGCACAACTACTGTTGACTTTTTGGGAAACACAGCCTGAGTCTGCCATGAAAGTAAACTATTCCCTAGGCAAAAGGTTGATGATTAGGATAATTCATTTTTTAATGCCAAAGGCATATTCTTTTCTCTGGCCCCCATGGGATGTCATTTAAATACTCTGGACTTCAGTTTATTTATCTGTAAAGTAAAGATTTGTCATCACAGTGATGTCTAACATCCCTCCATTCTGCCTAGGTCATCCCTCCAAGCTCTAAATCTCATGTTTCTACAAGTATATTCATTGAAAGCACATCATAGACATTTAACTTCTTCCTAGCAAGATTAAAAAATTCTATCCATCTCCCCTAGTGCCATACTGGACTAATTGATTTTGATATTTCCTCCTATTGGCTACAAAAACTTCT